GGAGGGGAGCGGCTGGCCAGAGGGGGACCCTCCAGCCTCGCGTGTCGGGGCTGGAGGTGCTGGTCCCGGGTGCAGTCGCTGGCAGGATTTGAACCAGCCTTGCAAGAGCTGATGTTTTCTTGCAGCTGCCAGATCCCAGTTTCATAAGGAGGTATGAGCTCTGATTTCATTTTATTCATAGTTCTGCTGTTTCTCACCTTTAGAGAGGCAGGGAAAAACCCCAGACTAGAAAGACCTGGTGGATAACTCTAAAGCCACCACTGTCATTTCTTCTCCTTTCTATATCTCCTTTTCTATATCTCCTTTTCCATAGCTACATTTTTTTCCCTATGGCCACAGCTGGGTCTCCACAGCTGGGTTCAGGTTCAGGTAGGACAAACCTGAGATGTCTCACGTCACTCAGTGGGGAGAACCGAGGAGTCAAAGGTGCCGCAGGGAGGTGGCGGGGAGACCCCGCCGCAGCGGGCAGGGCGCAGCCTGGGAGCACCGCCGCGTAATGCAGAGGGGCTGCCCGGCTCCTCCATACGTGCTCTATAATCTCCATCTGTAGTGCCCTGGCCACGTCTCGACCGTGGGGCTGCTGGACCATCACGGTTATATCAGAGCCCTACCATTTAGCCGGATCGCACCCAGTCCGTGCCATATAAGCACCTTATTTTGGGTTCACCTTGCAGCGTGGGATCCTGCCACCCGCTCACCCCAGGAGCTCAGCCGGGGAGGGGGCTTTGGGGGTTTTTGCTGTTCCCGGGTGCTGTCGTGCCGCGGCCTCCCTTCCCAGGGCCGCGGGGGGTGGCGGGGGGCGGGCCCCGCCCCCCCCCGTTTTTTTCGTCCCCCGGCCTCCCGCGCCGCGGTGGTTTTTTTAGCCAGCTGGAGTCGTGGCAGGCGGCCACAATTTTGGGCCCTTGTGTGTCCCGGGCGGGAGCGTCTCAGCCCACCTGGCACGAGCCGCGTTTCGCCATCAGCCGGGAAACGCTGGTGTCTCGAGAGGGTCCTGGCCCGGACTGGGGAAAGGGTGGAATGAAAACACACAGAGTGCCTGTTCATTGTCCCGGCTATTATGGCATGATTTATGGAGCTCATTAGCTGTTGTTCATGGCTTTTTAAGCCAGGCTCCAACAAAGCCTGGTTTGTTTTATTTTAATCTTCACACTCCCTTGGAGGGAGGGGAGGTACAGCGAAACGGGGCCAGAGGCTGCCCGAGGGACTCACCCGGGCGGCCTGTGGGACACCGCTGGGTCGGGACACCCTGGACCGTGCTGCAGGCAGAGCTGGGTGCCCCTGCCCCCACCCCCTCTGCTGGGGCCGGGAGATCCCCCCCGTGAGGGCACACTGCCTCCCTCAGACCTTCACGGCCACCTCCAGCATCACGAGGTATCTGGCCCCAATGTGCCAGCGCGCAGGGGACCGGCTCCCCACAGCCCCCCCTGTTCGGGAGCAAGATGATGCTCTGTGGATCCTGGGGTGGACCGGAGCTGGTGGGGGTCACTTCACCTAATGCAGAGGTCCGCAGTGGAGATCCCAAACCCTGTTTTGGGGTCATGGAGCTGTAGGAAGCAGAGTCCAGGTGCATTTTTGTCTTCTCCTTAAATAGCTGCCTGTGTTTGGTCAGGCAAATCGTGCCCTAAACTCTAGTGACAGCTCTCATGGAGCGAGCCGGGGCTGACTGCTCTGATGGAGATACCTGCGCTGCACACAGTCCACGTGGGGTGGGACGGACCCGCGGCCGCCAGCCCTGGCACGGGGGCGCCGGGCTGGTCCCAGGCCCTTTGCACCCACAGCCGAGTGCTCGATGGGATGGGAGCCGGGTCCAGGGAGCGCTTTGCTTTCCAGGAGACGTAAAAAAAAAAAAAAAAACCCTCTGCTGAGGATGCAGCTTTTGGATGGTGCTCAAAGGTCCCCAGGCCCCACCTTTCCTTGCTCTCCTTGAGTGCCCGCAGCCCCCGTGTCTCCTGGCTCTGCCCAGCCTGGCAGCAAATTGCTTGGTGTTAATAAAAGGCGGAAGGAGAGAAGCACAAACACATGGGCCGACCGCCTCGGCCTGCCAAAGTCCACCCTGCCCCGTCTCCGCTGCACCGGTGACTTGTTGCTCTCTGGACCCAACCCGGAGAAAGGGAAGCTTCAGTAGCCACACGATTTGCCCCAGGGGTGCCTCTGCCCTGCCAAGATGCCCCCAAAAGCCACAACTTGTCATCAAGTCTTCTTGATCTTCCCACCTAGCCCAAAAACCCAGCCCTCTGGGCCTGGGAGCTGCTGGGAGGGAGCAGGGCTGGTCCAAGAAGTCCTGAAAGCCTTGATGTTGTAGCGACTACCTGGTTTTATTTTCTAGCATTTATTAACACTGGAAAGGGTCGAAGTTGAGTTCTGGGAATGCCCCGTCAAAAAAAATCACGGCAAGGTGCCTTCATGGAGCCTTTCCTCCGCTCCCACGCTGCTCAGCCGTCCCCATTGCAACATCTGTACATGCAGTCACTGGGCACGGGCCCAACATCGCATCAGTGCTCCGAAAAAGGCTGAAGGGGCTCGGCAGCACGCTCGGGACACGTGCCAAGCTGGCAGCGGGCAGTGCTGGCGGTGAGCGCGCCCGTTCCCCTGCTGCTGCCTCTGCGGGGCAGTCCCGTGGGAACGCTGCTTTCCTTCCCGCGGCAGGGCACCACGCGGTGCCCCTGCCCCTGCCCACCGGGACAACCCCCC